TATTCTGGACTGGGAGCATTCCGGGTGGTATCCAGAATATTGGGAGTATGAAAGGGCGTATCGGCATTTTAATGATGTGCCTAGGTGGCTAGATTATGTTGATCTCTTTTTACCCTGGAAGTACTCTGAAGAGATAGTGGCGATGTCATATTTATCTAAATACAGCCGTTGAATGGTCGATATGATCCATTACGTTAACTACTACCAAGGAAGCACCATCCCGACGCACGATGTCACCCACCACAATCGACAAAGATATCGCAATACTTCAACTAAGCCAAATGCTGGTGTCGTAAACCTCGCATCTGCATGATTCTCGTGATCTTCCTGAATCACGAGCATCGGGGTCGAAAGATACCATAGCCCGTCCCGCGTATCGTCCGGAGCACAGTTATTTCCAAAAGAAGGCTCTTGGTTCCCGGCACATATCAGAAAAGATGCCCCTCATCTGAAATGGACTAGTTACCATCATGAGGACGCAGCTCAGGGTTCATCTCCACTGCGTGGACGCTTAGACACGTCTCAACATGCTGAGGTAAATCGGCCTCTCGATAGGCTCGAAAGGAAGATTCCCAGCCTAATGGGCAAGGTTCTTCGCAGCCCCAAGGCCCACGCCCATCGGATAGTACCATCTCTCTCCAGAAGTAAGCGCAAGCGGTACAGTAGACTCCTGCATCTGTAGCCTGTGCCCGCTTGTCCCAGTAGGGGAACGGCACCGTGGCCATGAACTTCATGCGGTTCCTTTTTCTCTCGCTCCAGAAACATCCGCCCCCAGGAATCCCGTGTCGTTGGTATGGCGTCGGTTCTACTTCAGATAAATAGACACCTTCTCCTTCGATTATATGGACAGTTACGTCTAGTATCTCTGCCTCCTCCGGCCCATAAAGCTTGGATACAAGGTTCTTGCACTGCGAGATGTTTGCCATGCAGTCTTGGGGGTCATGAAGCCAAATATTGTGGACAAGTTGGATGTCGTTCAAATCCTCTTCCTCAATTCCGAAGTAGTAGCAGATTTTCTTGACAGATCCCAATCCGTACGACTTCTTGTATAAGTTGCATTCGTAGCAACATCTCTGCATGGTTGGAATGTAGAGAAACGGCCCAAAATTTGGGCACGTTCTGCACTTAGGCTGACAGAATTCGTTGAAGATCTGTCCAATGGTGTAGTGTGAAGAAAATCTCATCTGGCGCATCAAGTTGAGAGTCTCGTGCGCATGGGTTTTGAGGATGGGGTAATCCAGCATGGTTTCCACCTGCTCCTTGGTCTTGCTGTTGACTAGGAGCATCATTCCTATGGACCTCAGATCCAGGAATCGAAGTATTTCATGGGCCACTTCGAGAGGAATCGTAAACCCAAGAAATATATTGGCTTCATAGTTAAACCCTTCCTTGGATTTAGATATTTTCGGGACTGGAAGGGTCATTTTCTTCGGTGCTACTGGCCTCTGATAGCCTTCCAGGAGGAGGATCTCCGTGACTGGGTCCTGGGCCCGAAATCCGTCCCCGTTCGCCACTGAGAGAGCTCGGTTCATCCCGAGTAGGTAAGACTTGGCCAATCGAGCGTATGCGATGCTATCGAAACGGGGCTCCATCATGTGCTGAGGGGTAGGTTCACAGTGAAGTTTGCAGGCGTCAATGATGAACTGCACAGTTGTATGTTGTTGAGAAAGATTTAGTGTTTTCAGGATCACAACAGATGTCACCCTTTATATGTTGCATCGCCGCGGCGACACGTTGCTAGCACAATACGTTAACCGAAGAACAAATTATGACGTGGTAATCCCAACTTTGACAATGCAATACCTTAAGAACCTTAGGATACAATGAGCTTCTAGTCATTTCATCCGCTATTGTCTAATACGAGTAATCCTTTGAAGTTCTGAATGCTTATGCTGACACCTACAGGGAGGCTGAAATTGCCAGTATGGAAGCATTGCTAGTTGCGTTTGTATAGTTGGGGCTGGTGCACAGTTCCCCGAAAACTGATCAAAGACTTTCAGATGGTGGTCAGAATCGGCGATGCGGACAATGTCTTCACGTTCTGTTCTGAGAAATTGTAGTAAACTTGTAAACGAGTCTCCCGGGATAAGGTCTCCATAATGCCTTTCTGATGTAATAACTGCTACATGCATGTTACTAATGTGCGCTTCTTGAATACATTTACAGTTATTTGTCTTGCTATTCATCAATAGCGTGCCCCATCTCAGCGACAATGAACTGATAGTTTTACCCTTCTTGAGATTGAATTAGAGTTTTGGCAGCTTCTTCGATCTATGGTTGTTAATGTTTGTTCACTACAAATGGTAGGTGGGATAACATACCGTGCTGCAAATTTTGTTAATGTCGAACAGCTTGGTGGCATTTGGTGAGCTTTTGGCTTTGATACATCGTGCATATCGACTGACGATACGACATAGCCCCGGCAAGCCTTGTGTGCACTCGAGCATTAACTGACACGCATCGCCCCTGCTGATCTTGATGTTGACATTCCGTTCAAACAGAGCGGGATTTCTGAAGCATAGTTCCAGTGTCGCAATAGCCATACACTGAGGCACAACGCAGAAATTGAAGATGCTCTGCTCATTCAACCCAGCCAGATAAATGAGACATTCCTTGACATGCTCAAGTGCGTTGAGAATCATCTCAGAACTGCACTCTATGGCCGCCTCACGATTCTCTGGCTTGAACAAATCTGCAAAGTTGCTGACGTACTTAGACCATATCTGATGGGGCCAGAACCGACGATTGTCTTCGTGATCTTCACTGACGTCGCGGATGATGTTGGTCTTCTGCAGAAAGAGACTCATTGACCGAGGTAAAGTTGGGTTGTCGAGTAATGACGAGTTGCAAAATTGCGCTTCGATGAAGAAGCGAGTAAGACCCTCACCGACACAGCCGGCAACATAATAGCAGTACAGCTCATACTCGGCTATAGTCATGACGCCGGCATTATCTGGATGGCCCAGGGTAATCTTATGGCAGAAGTCAGCCATTCCGTTACCCATTATTTTAGTGATGTCCTTGATAATGTGTTTGTAGGCTGGCTTCAAAGCTTTATACTCTTTGATAACGTGATGGAAGTGAACAAGCAGTTCGCGGTCCTTCTCTTCGGGACGGTTGCCATCGTATGTCCACCCGTCTTTCATTATTATAATTTCAAACTCACGAAGCAAGGTCTGCTTGGTCTTCACTGTAATAGAAGGGTCGTCTTCTATGGTGTCGAGACCGCGGAGGACAAGGTAGAAGATACAAATCGGGACGAGCAATTCGGAGTGGAGCTCCTTAATGATAACGCTAAAGCTCCGGCCGGTTTGATCAAGAAACTTGAAACAAACCTGCCGAGATTTGCTTTCACTTATGATATTGGATCGATGATTTGGGTTGTGTTGGGTCATCCTATGATTGTGAAAATGCATTCCGTCAGCTATCAATGGTAGGACATGGGCGTGGGATGATCACCATTGCAGGACATTCGGCAAATGAAATGAATGAAACGCATAGTAAAGAGCATTGCTAATTGATTCCATTTTTATTGATACACAAATAAGAGAATAACTTTTGCGATGGCCAGATTTCACATGGTTTGGACTCTAGGGGGCTTTTAAGGGTATAGAAAGTGGAGGCGGAGCGGAGCGGGATTCGCATCCCGCTATTTTATTTGCGGGAGCGGATTTCGAATTTTCAACTCCCCGAAATCCGTCCACCGGAGGGTGCAGCTAATTCCAGGAACTCTACATTCGCGGTGCAGCGGCGCCTGAATCCCCATTGGACTATCCAGTCTCTCATTTATACTTCACATCTCTTTGCTTAATTAGATGGAAAAGACAGCACGTAATAATGGAAAGCCGGCCGCGTACGGCCGAGCATGCGTCAACTGTGCTCGCGTCAAACGCAAATGCATGCTGCGAGCCAATGGAGATGGATGTGAAAGGTAATCCACCTCTCGAAAACACCATTGGCGATCGTTGGCTCATTACATGGTCAGATGCTTTCGGCTCAAAGTAGAATGTAACCCTTCTCCTAGCGTCCGCAGGAGTGGCTCGAGACCCAACGGCTCTCAAGCTGCTCGTCTGGAGCAGAAGTTAGACGGGCTCGTTTCATTATTGAAAGCTCGCCAGGGTAGCCTTGAACCCGAAGAGACTGCTTCGTCATCAGGTTCCTTCATATCAGCTCCCTCTCGCGCTTCAGTGCCTGCAGATCGTGGGTCGCATGCACAACCGCTTGTTGGTGATCTTGACAGAGTAGCTACAGATCAAGGCAACAAGTATTCGGCTAATACCTCACAAAGCTGGAGCCTATTCCCACACAGCCATTCCGAGGTTCTCGATCCATCGTCTCGCGATGCAAAACAACATTTCAAAGTATTCTTCAGTCACTATACCGAATTTCTCCCTCTTCTATACCTTGAGAATGGGTCGACCTCAGAAAAGCTGTACCGAGAGTCACCATTCCTCTGGCTATGTATAATGGCTGTGACATCTACAGATGCAAAAGAACAGATCAGTCTAGCAAAGACGGTTCGAGAGGTTGCCGCTCGTGAGGTAATCGTAGAAGGCAAATGTACCATGGATCTGTTGCACGGTCTCCTGTGTTTCATCGGCTGGTCAGTTTTCCTTATCACACTTTCAGTAACCGAATGACTTATTGTGATCTATAGGGGACACTTTCGCTTCTCTATGGGATCACTTCTTACTATTTTGTCTCAGCTGTGCACTGCTTTGACGGTCGATCTGCAACTTCGAAGCCGGCATTGCGGAGAGGGTAATCTGATTCATATGTTTCCTCGACCGCTTGCATCTCAGATTCAGGGAGCTACAGACAGGTTCCAGCCGAGGAGCATCGCAATTGCACGGACGGCATTGGCTTGCTACTTTCTCACATCATGGTTAGCAATTCATTGAACTATTAAGAATACCGCTAATAGCAAACCCAGCGTTGCAACGTTTCAAACAGTTGGGGAGAGCTTGGCATGGTCACCATACCTTGAAGAGTGTCTGAAAATGTTACAAGGCTCAAAATGTGTTCGGGGCGACGAGCTGCTGGTGCACATGATCAAGCTTCAGCGCATAACGAGCAAGGTCACTGATGTCCGTATGCAACTAAGAGATAACGACAGCGAACAAAGTACGCGTCTTATTTATCCATACATATTTGCCCTCAACGCTCAACTAGACGAGACGAAAGGGCAATTGCCCCCTCACCTGGCCACGAATAGTACGTCTAATCTGCCACTCCTGATTCGACTGCATAACAGCCTTCACTGATACTCCATAGAGATGCTGGAAGCGATGTCCCTGCACACAGAAATCTGCATCAATGACCTTATCTTTACGCGCCTTGGGCATTCCCCTCTTCTAACTGATACCAGCAGCATGGAGGCCCTTCTTAATTGCCTCAATGCGGCGAAACGCGCAGTGGATATCATGTTCAACTTCGAACCAACCGAGTATACATACTTCCCCTTCTTCCTGTGGAGACAATTCCGAACCGTAATTTTGACCCTCATTCGACTCGCATCCTTCGAAGATCCGGCGTGGGACGTGAAGATGGTTCGACGAACTGTAGACATTACGTCTATTCTTGACAGGACTGCTCAGAACCTGAGCAATGTACAAACCAACGTTGATGATGGTATTACTGACCACGAAAACGTGGTTTCGAAATCATTGGCCTGGGTGAAAAGAATGAGGTCTTGCTTACTCGCAATTTATGGCCAGTCAACAGATGCCCAGGCCCCAACCTCTGAACTTCAGAGCTCAATGGGCATATCAGGTATGGGAACGTTGCTACATAGGCAGCCATCCCAGGAAGAGGCTTCAACCATAGACATATTTTCATCACTCGATCATGAACTCTTTGGCGACGATGTTTTTGGGTGGTGGCCGCCCTTATATTCGGAGAATGGGCTATAAATCTTGCTTATGGAAAGCGTTTGGTGTATAACTCCATATGCTTTATTATACAATACTTTTCCTTCCTTGTTCTATTCGTCCATCAAGTTCCCCCTCTTACCAACTCTGTTAGCCTATTTTACCTCAGCATAAACATCCAACGCATCGTGCAACCTCCCAAAAACACCTCCATGCCACCCCCTCAACTGCTCCCACTCCGTCGACGGCAACGTAACCCTCGACATCCTCAACCACCCACCGACAATAAAATCCGCATGACTAGGCCTCTGCCCCAGCAAAAACGGCCCACTAGTGTCCCTCTCAAACATCCTCGCCAAGTCCCCAAGCATATCCCGGAACGAACTCAACACCTGCTCCCTCTTCTCCCCGTCAAGAGCAAAATCATCCCATGACTTAAACCCCGCCCGCCGGACAAACTCCGCCTTACTCTCCTCCGCCGTCTCCGGATCAAACGGCATTTTCTGCACCATCAACAAGGTGTGCACACTGAATGCCGCGTCGACATTATTATTGAACCTTGCGTAATCCGCATACTCGGTATCGTTCCGCTCTGATAGTGGTACCAGCACCTTGAGCTCCTCCTTCAGTTCATAGTCCAGTTTCTGCGGAGGGAAGAGATCCCCGTCACCCGAGGCGGGGTAGGTCTTCTGTAGGTAGACGGCGATGTCGAAGGAGTCGCCGATGAGGGAGTTTGTGGTAGGGTCGGAGAGGATGGGGAGGGTGTAGAAGTCGCTACCGTCGGCGAATTTGCGACATGCGGGGAGGTTCAGGCTGCGGCGGACTTTGGATACTTCGGGGAGCTTGACCCACGTTGTGGAGTAGGGGGCGTTTTTGAAGTTAAGGGCCAGGCGCGCTTTCCAGGGGTTTACCGCAGCGGCGTTGCGGGTTACTGGGGGCCGCATGGCGATGTCGTAGAAGGTCATTGTTGGGGTGGGGTTGGAGGTGGTGGTTGTGGTTGCCATTGTGGATGGTGGGGAGGTCATGCAATAATTGAGGGTTATAGTTGGTGAAATTTGTGTGTATGAGGCTGATCGATTGGGAGGTTAGGTAGTATAATGTGTAATTGAGCTCTTGGATGGGAATTTCAGGTGATGTTCATGAGGATTGAGGTTAAGTTATATAGCTGGGCCTGCAGGGTAACGTCACGTGGAATGGGAAGCTCGGGTGGGGCAGAGTCCCCCGAATCTGGAGACCCTCAGGTGAGAGATCTGTGTTAAAGTGTGACATTTTGAGTCTTTCCATGTCTAATTCTGGAAACTGCAAGCAGTTTGGGCCCAGGAGTGGGCTGTGCTATGATCATGATTTGGTGTGTTCATCTCGACTCAGAATGACTCATGCCCACTCATGCTGGCCAAGTGGGGCCGTGTGGAGTACTGTCCCCACTCCCCGATTGATCTGGAGATTTGAGAGGCATACGGATTTCTTCAACGTCATAGAGTCCTGAAATCTCCTTTCTATACTGCATTGGGTGTGCTTATGCGCAGACATTTCAGAGCCTAAGCGAAGCTTTTCATCGCATGAGCTATACATGGGAATTTGCTCTACTCTTCTGTATCCCGCCCGTTGGTAACTTCTTAGGAATGAAATTGCTCTGGTACTGCTAACTCTTCAATATCATAGATCTAAGAACCCGGTTTCAACTGTGAGAAACAATTATCGAATGACAGCGACTAGATGATTCGGCCCTTTTGAGAACTACAGAGTCTCAAGTATTCTTCGCACACCGGCAAAATCAAGTTCATCCATCGTCTCCTGCCACAGCTGCTCAATAGATTGCTTCCCCTCGGGCGTATACAACGACGCATTAAACCTGAACGTACGTGGATCAGTCATGATGTGAGAAATCCAAAAGAAGTCGGCAATACATACGGCTCAATCTTCCAACTCATCAGAAAGCACCCATGCGACTCCTTCCCTTTTAGTACAGCAGCATCAACATACGTCGATGCACCAACCTTGACTGTCCTTCCTGTCAATGCTCCAAATACCGCCAACCCAGCCTTCGCATAAGCAGGCGAATCCCGCCCCAGGTCCGTGCCTTTCACGAAGGCTGGATCTGCTAGGTTAACAATCACATCATCTGCGGCGACATATTCAGCCAGCTTATAGAGAAACGCATGAGCTAGAAGTTTTGACATGCAGTAACTGCTATTGACGTCAAATGTATCTCGGCGATCGAACAACTTCAGAAGTGGCGCATCCTTCACGTCGGGTAAGCTTGGCAGAAGCGATAATGCCGCACTGACGATAGTCAACCGGCCCGACTCTCCCCTCGGAGATTTCTTCTTCAAGCTGGGAAGAAGTAGAATGGCTAAGAACATGGTTGAGAGATAGTTGACTTGGATTGTTTCCTCGTGGCCGGTGTTCGGATTGGTGGTGAACTGGGCTTGTCTCACCCCAGCATTGAGGATAGCAATATCTAGGCGAGGAAGATGGTTTTCGACCCGCTTTGCAAAGCTTTGTATGGAGACATATGAGCTCATGTCAAGTGGCCATACATCTATTGTTGACGTGGGATTAACGGCTCGAAGCTTAGCTGCTGCGGCTTCCCCCTTTTCGGGAGAGCGAACGGCGAGGATCAAGTGGCTCAGTTGAAGGGATAGAAGCTGGGATGCACATTCATATCCCAGTCCACTATTTCCTCCAGTGATTATGGCAACTTGACCAGAGAGGTTTGTAGTTGCGGGTGGCCAGTTGGGCTTGGCACAGAATTGGTTATAAAAGAACACATTGGGGAAGAAGGGAGCGGTCGATGGGGGGAGGTCCTTTGAGGCCATTGTGGGTGGAATAGGAATTTTTAAGAGAAACTGCAGATGATCTCAAATAGAAAGTATTATCTTTGAAGTAGCCTGTCTAGTTCTCTTAATACCAGCTCCTGATGATCCTATATATCACGGTTATCAGCCACTAAGCCCAAAGCGGCACCCAATGTCCGCGGACTTAAGCCGGGTGTTGGGCGCGGTCCATCCATTTTGAACCTTTTGTCTGGGTTGGAGATATGCTATCCCCGCGTATATCATATATGACATATCGCGTCTTAACTCCGACCCCGATAATATTATGTCGAGGCATACGCTGTAGCCAGGGATCATCTGATCCTTAGCCACCTCTGTATGCGTGGTCCTCGTTCACCACTACCTCTTACTCTTCATCCAACCATCATCATTAGTTTCTACATATCAGATATATATATCTGAATCCGTCCCTACCCATTTTGTTGAAAGAAACAGCCATAGACAAGCTTAGGCCTCATTGATGTTGATTCGCCACTGCCTTGGGAGCTTTCAACAAAGTATGGTAATCGATATCGCTGTTAAAGCTGGTGAGCCCGGAGCCATCATTGGACGCGGCAGGGTCCTTCCTGGAGAGACCAAACCACGTTCGCAACCCCGTGATGGTCGCTTGCGGAATAGACGGTAGCCTAATTTGACGTGTCTGGGTTTTGTTCTCCTCCGCTGGAGGCCCCTCTGCTGTGCCACTCGACGAACCCAACACGGCGTCCTTGATCCGGGTGAAGTATTTCTTGAACGCAGTTGAGACCTCGTTGGATCCGATCAAAGTGGACCGATAGACGGTGATGGATCCCATGGTAACTTCAATGCATCCCTCCAAATGAAGCCAGAATACCTGCCATGGGTAGTCGAGAAGTCCGTGGTACCACGTGCCTGCGGTGCGAATAATGGAGCATGTGCACATGAAGATCGAGAGACAGAGGAAGCATCCAAGACCTAATTTCGTCAAGGTTCGTAACTGCACTTTGTAGAGCAATCGCATTGGAATACTAATGACTGGGAAAAGTTAGTTATAGCTAATCCTCATCTGGCTAAGTGACATACTCATCAGGTCAGTGAGCGCATCCAAAATCGGTGGAAGCCAGACCATTGCGAGGACCGTGCTGTTCGGCACAGGTAAAGAGGGGAAGCATTTTGCTTTAAATGGTTAGTGTGAGAGATTATCGCTGACGAGGGATCCTTACAGATTGCCTTCATTCCTGTATACGGACAAGGAACGATCGGTGCGACAAAGGCGCTCAAGATCCACGAAATAAAGGATAGCCCCACAGTGCAACGGTAATAAAGGATAAACCAGCGTGACATCCCCACCAGGAGAGGGTGGAAGAATGCCAGGTAGCACCACTTGACGGCAAAGACTGTGGTCCAGAGAAGGACTATAAAGGCGATATTAAAGCCATAATCTTTCGCATGTTCCTCTAAATGGGAGGCGAGAAAGAGAAGTGCGTCAACATTTCCTTCCAATGCTGCCATCTGAAAGTAGATGGTGTATGCACGGAGAAAGCCCAGTACAGTTCCTATCAGCAGCGTGGTAAAAGCAAAGCTAAGAAATGCATCGTCCAAATAGAGGCGTCGTCGGGTAAAGAGTCGGATGAAGATGCGGCCAAGAAACGACAGTGCTGCCAACGCGAAGAAAATGCCAACGGCTATCTGATATTCATACATATTGAGTTAGAGTGATACCTTCGGATAATTATGCTTGAAATAGCCTTACCCCATATTGCCGCTGGGTAATCCGACCGATATCACCTATGACCGGCGGGGTCTGAGAATCTTGACCAGACGTGAGATTCAGCGAGGAGATGTCCATACTTAAGCTTTCCCAAAAGACTTGGGCATATCATATACAGGTGTACATGCAGTTCCTGATTCACCTCTCCGATGGGAACACCGCTTTATGTATAGCTGGGCTGTCAGACCCTCTGGTTGCACGAGTGTCTGGGTTGGATGCGCGGGGTCTTGAGCGGCTCACTGGATTTCCTCCTACATACTCAATGCTGACTGCATTTCATCGACCTCACGAGGATGGTAATGCCTCCCCAAAGAAGCAAGGGGCTCAATGGTTGCCTTGAGATTCTCAGTTTCCTTTCGAAGACTCAGCCTCAATTCCCAGCGCTTTGGACTTAGAAAGTGCGATGTTGAGATTGATATTTTCTCTCTTCCCTTTTCCGCGCGTGTTTAGCAATAGCCATCTAGCTCTGCCTCTCAAAGACGCTTGTCATCAGTGGGTGGGAACCGATATCCCTTCCAAGTCTCACTAGCGTCACCCCTGTCTTGAGTGTCCTGGCTACGATGAAGACCATGACCGTTTCCTATGTCATCATTACTATATGAACAGCCGACACAGATACTAGGAGGTGGCTTTCTCCTTCATGTGCAAATAATCAATATACCTTCCACGATGAGTTATATGCACTCTGTTCGCTGGTATGCCACTCTTGAGACTAAGTAGCATCGCTCGGAAGTTACGGAGTACCCGTCATATCTCTGAGCGACAGCGTCAGGTGTGCTGAAAGTACTCTGCTAACATTGCACATGCCATTATCCAGCTTAGTTTACCAAGATGGCTCCTTCACGATTGCCATAACCTTCATGTATTACGCGACATCTCCCCTTTAACACACGAAGCTGAGATGCTGAGGCGCTGAGCAGTAAGGCCGAGAAACTGCGGCCGTGCTCTGGTATTATACAAGCAAGGGATAATGTAGTCAGACCACTGACAAGTTGATATTTACATCATCTTCACTATCAGTATGGACAAACTGCGCGTTCGAGCAGACCAACGGTGGTTGTAACTTGGGCTTATCCGAATATCATTCCAAACACAGCCTCTGGTTTACGCTTGAAGATCCTCCCGCATATGCTTGTACTCCGTATAGTAGTTGAGGCCCCACAAAATGCTATTTTAAGCATTTTTGAGGTGTGCTGCACACAGAACCAGCGATTGAGGCTGGGAAATTGGAGTGTTACACTATTGCCATTTTAGGCAACTGCCCGCCTAATCTCACCGCCTCCTGCCCATGATCCCCTTAACACTCCCCCACTAAACCGCTCCCTCCGATTGCCTGTCCATGGTGGAAGCGAGGGACATCAAGTTCACACCAATGGCTTCCATCAACATTATTCTGACTATTTGCCTACCGTTTGTAAGCCTCGCCGCGTATGGACTCCATGCGCTCTACCAACACCGTTCCAAAATCAACCGCCTCCGCAAACAAGGAGTGGTAAGCTCAATCTTACCTACAAAGCTTACTACACTATCACTAACACCATGTTTAGCGCATGCCAGCAGGATGGAGCTGGCTAACTGGCCACATGCTGGTTCTTTCGGACTATGTTAATAGTCTACCTGACGATGCCAATGTTGTGCTTGCGACGCAAGAGTTAGCGTCGGAATATACTGACACGGAGATCTTTCTATTGGATGTCTGGCCTATGTCCCCCGCACAGTATATAGTCTTCTATCCCGAAGCGGCATCACAAGCGACAAATAAATTCAACCTGCCCAAAACAGTCATACAGCCTCGATTCATGCAACCGATTACTGGCGGGCCTAGTATGATATCTATGGGAAATGCTGAATGGAAGGCCTGGAGATCAATCTTTAATCCGGGATTCAGTGCCGGTAGCATGCAGGATCTCCTTCCCGAAGTTATCAAGTCGGTTGGTGTATTTTGTGATAAGTTGCACGAGAAAGTCAATGCTGGGAAATTCTTCGCCTTAGATGACCTGACCACTAGATTAACCATGGATGTCATTCTGAAAGTGACGCTGTTGGTTTACCCTTCCTCACATTGTATGGCAAATGTTAACGAGACTAGCGACGCGGACCTTGATCATCAGAATTCCGACAACATCATTGCAACTGCTCTTGGCCACATTACCAGATGGCATTCTTTTTGGGACCCTCGCATACGAGCACACCCACTTCGGCCTATTGTTCAGGGATATTACGGTCGCGTTGTGAACAAATGCATTCGTAAAGCACTGCATGAGCGATTCTCCGAGATGAAGCAAGCCAAACGGGATGATTTGTCTCGTTCTAAGCGAGCCAAATCCATCCTTACTCTAGCCTTGGAAGCATATCTAGAGAGTAAAAACGAAGGAATCACCGACTCTACACAATTAGACGACGGCTTCGCAGAATATGTGACCTATCAGATTCGATTGTTCCTCTTTGCCGGGACTGATACCACTTCGAGCAGTATCGCTTACGTGTATCACATGTTATCTAAGCACCCTGAGGCTTTGGCTCGAGTGCGGCAAGAACATGACCGCATCTTTGGGCCAGATCCTTCAGCTGTGGTGCAGCTACTCCGCGAACAACCTTCCTTGCTCAATCAATGCTCATATACAATGGCAGTTATCAAAGAGACCCTTCGGCTCTACTCTCCCGCAGGCACTATGCGTCAAGGCGCTGATGGTTTGTCACTTACTGACAGACACGGCAACCAATACCCCTTGGCAGATGATCTCAGCGTCACCATTTTACACCAGGCGACCCATCTCAACCCACGGGTATGGCCACGAGCGAGAGAGTTTCTCCCAGAGCGGTGGCTCGTTGACCCAGGCCACGAACTTTACCCGGACCCGGCAGCCTATCGTCCGTTTGAGCAGGGACCGCGCAACTGTATTGGCCAGACTCTTGTCTACAACGAGATGCGGACAGTCTTGGTGATGACCGCCCGGACATTCGATATTAAGCCAGCCTACGATGAATTGGATGCGATGAAGGCGAAACAGAGGGGCTGGTTTGATCACATTGCTGAGTCTGTAGGCTTTCAGAACAAGAAACCTAAGCTGCTGCACGGCGAAAGAGCATATCAATCTGAGAAAGCTGGCACTCATCCAGTAGATGGATATCCGTGCCGTGTAACTTTGGTGACTTAAATCCAAAAGAGTCAATGTATCAATTTTCCTTGCACCCGAAATGGTGATAGCCTGGGGCCTTTTCTCAAAAGTTGTAGCATTAGCCACACGCAGCCAGATAAATTAAATTGCATTCAAAAAGACTCGAGAGCTAA